TGAGCCGCTTGTATGAGAAAATCATGAACTTGTGTTATGACTGCATATCTATGCCCCGAGTTTTCCCATGGACATCTACAATCTGTTTTTTATTCATCCTTAACTTTTCACGATCAGCTTATAGTGATAGTTATTAGCCACTATCGGGAGCACTTTATATTGACATTGCTGGAAACATTTAATCGCAGAATAATTCGGTATAATGGGTATTAAGATATGGCCGGTAAAGTCTTATTTGGAGACCGTTATTTTGCGACATGAAGTAAATGTCACATGCTCATCGGTCAGGAGGGAATGTCGTAAAATTTGATTGGTTTGAAATAATTTTGCTCACAATTCATGATGGCATATTGAAAAAATTCAATGAAATTTGTACTTTACCAAGATAAAAATTATCATTTGAAATTCCCAGTTTCATCATTTAAAAGATCAGGATTTTGTCCAGGATCTAGGATTGTAGAGTCTACAGAAATAAGCATATCTTTCATCTGAACTGTCATCTACACAGAATGTCTACTTAACTCATTCACCCTTAAATATTTAAAATGGACTTGCCTGTGACTTTAGGGGTGAATGGGTTAAAATGTTTAACGGGGGGGGGGGGGTCTTAAAACTGCATGTGTTACATTATGGTATTCGTATTGCATCAAAATTTTTATTCTTTATTGGGATGATTGACACCTATGCAAATAAGACATACTTGTACACTTAGTCGGTAATCCAACAGTGTTCTAATCGCTTGTGTATGTTTCCAGATTTTTTAAAAACATCTACTGTCCGTTTCCAGTTTTAATTGAAAATTACCGTCCGTTTCTTGTTTTACTAGAAAATATGATGAATACAGCAACAACTCTGTTAAATCTAATCGCATGTTGATAACAAATCAAATTTTAAAATTGTCTTACACAGAATTTCAATATGAGTACAGCCGATCTTTAACCCATGAAGTAAGTGATTGAATTGTGCACAGCGAGACAGTCTGTTCCTTCTAAATGTCAACATTTCAATCGTGGGCAATAAATCAAATATTTGTTTTCCGTCAATTTTCAACAGAAGTTAAAAGTGATCTTTTCTGTTATTAAAGTTTATTGCTTATATATATGACAGCCCAATGCTGTTTGATAACTTGGGTTTTTTTTCTTCGCCAGAAGAAATAATACATGTGTATAAATTGGTCTGCAGATAAAGGTCATTATGATATCATTTGTCTACACTCGAGATCCTGTTCAAAATGTTTAAAAATCTTTTTATATGGATTTCTCTTCTGTATATTCTGCTAGAAGAAATAACATACACATAAACTATCTTTGTTCAGAGAGAAAATTTTAAAGTGACTTCAGTCATAAAAAATATGTATTGAAAGAATTATATTTATGAAGTGATAACCATAATAATACTTTTATATTGATACCACGTTTATGAACAAGATGTTCAACAGAACTTAATCAAAATTTACCTGAATTAAAAGTATTTCAAAGTGAGGAAAATAGAACTAAATCAAAATTTACCTGAACTAAATGTATTTTAAAGTGAGAAAATAGAAATTATTAAAATTTTACCTGAATTAAAAGTACTTCAAAGTAAGAAAATAGAAATTAATTAAAATTTACCTGATTTAGATCATTTCAAATTAAGAACGATGACACCAACAAAACACAATAATAAGAACTCTATGAAACGAACCTGTTGATATATATATATATATATACAAGTAAATAGTGAAAATATTTGTTGTTGATTATCAAACATGTCTGTAAATAGAATTACCGGAGACCAGATAAAAAAAGTCTGTGTGTCAATAGAATTACCGGAGACCAGATAAAAAAAAGTGTGTGTCAGGTGTTGATGCACAGTCTAGATACAAAAATGAGGTGTTGTAATGATTCATTGAACGAGCTTTGACAGCAAATACTGACATATATCTTACCTGGTCTACCTTACCTGTGTGTACCTGTCAGACTTACCTGTGCTGCACATACCAGGTACCACCTGCTTTATTTCAAGGAAGTGAACAAACCAGACATGTACCAGATGGTGGAATTTATCACGCCACCTCTGGGGTCACACATTTCGTGTTCCATTATAGTTCTGTAAAGTGGATTTTGGCACACCGCTACCATGCATTGAAAAAGTAGTTGTATCAATGTGTTTATTTTTAAATATTTTGAAAAATCATCCACTAACTATAATAAAATATTATTTTCATGGTCATTATCATAATTATGTAAAAATGTGCACATTTATACAAATGAAGTGAAATAACTTAACAAGCGTAGTTTGTCAGACCGAAATTGGTGAGTGACCTTGACCATTGAAATTACTGGTGTGGTTGAGAGCCTAAAAATATCCAACACACCTACCCGACCTGTCATTTCACCAGAGCTAGACTGATCACCCAGTGCACCAGGTTTTCAAGTCTCAAAATTGGATCAGTCTTAGAAAAATTCTGAATATATTGACCACATTCTGGGCCCATAAAGTCTGCAGATTCCTGTATATATGTACACCTAAGTCTGGGCCTTACAGTTTGCAGACTACTGGATTTATTAACCTCACTCTGGGCCAAATTGTTTCCAGACTCTTAGATGAATATACCTCACTCTGGGCCCCACATTTGTACCTCAATCTGGGCCAAAATGTCTCCAGACTCGTAGATGAATATTCTGTATCTCCTTCTGGACCCTACATTCTGCAGACTCCTAGATTTATAGACCTCCGTCTGGGCTGTAAAGTCTTCAGATTCCTTGATTTATAGACCTCAATATGCGTCGTAAAGTCTGCAGACTCATTTACCCTTTGATCAAGGAGTGCAGGCCTTTATTCAGAAAATATAATTTAGTCAGTTCTTATTTTACTTGCTACCTTTTCCTATCCTCCAAGGTAAGGCTCTACTCCAGATGGATTCCTGGGCTAGAATCCTTGGGACATAATCTCTCAACAACCTTTTCAACTGTTGTTTGGGGTTCCAAGGCCAATGACCCATGGATGGTATATGCCAGATATTTTGTTGATGGTAGACATGTATTAATATCTTATAACAAGATATAGAGCATACCCTTTCAAGTGGAGATTTTCAATTATTTTTAAAGCACAACCCCGAACCACCACCATCACCACCACCACCTCAACCCAAGACCCGCAAACCTCTGTAGCAGGGATTCCAGCTAAAGCATTCAGGTTGATGCTGACAACACTAAAAAAAATTCTTTGGCCGGTACAACTTAATCAAGCCTGACTATGATGGCCATCTTAAATGTTCTATGCCTGCCTATGTTTTTTTATATGTAGAAAAAAAAAAGATGGTAAAAGATCAAAATCTAATGGTTGGCTATCTCAGTTCATAAATCAGCAATTATTCACCATTGAAACATTAAACTCCCAGACATAAAATCTCAAAACCAGTTAAAATAACAGATAGTTAAAGGTCATAGATTGGTATTGTACAGGTAAACCAGATCAGATTAGATGTCCCCGAGGAAATGAATGTTAGCAATGTCTGGATGCAACGTGACGATGCCCCTGTTATAGGGTTTACATTATATAGAAACATAAAGAGTTTGTTTTGTAAAATAGTGCCAGGTCAGAAAGGTGGCCGATGGTTGTTCTGACCCAAAGACCCTTTAATGTATTGTTATCAACCTGATGTTTTTATTTCTTGAACTTAATTAAGCTCATTGCAAAATTTGCTGCATATAGCCTTTATGATCAAGGCAAATTGTGTCCAAAAGGTTAGAAACACATTCAAAGTGGTTCATTTCTGGTTTCTTTTGCATATTAACCCTTTCACTCCTATTTAACTTCAGTAAACCCGACCATGCATTGATCTGGATTAGTCCATTTTTACCCAAAAGTACGCGGGGAAGCTGCATACAATTAGTCTACGTTGGGTTACCTATACACACTCATAATTAGGAAACGACACCAGCAAATGAATTCAAATCCACAGTGTTGCTATGGTGATTTCTCTCAAGCTGTCACTAAATATCTATAAATGTAGTAATCTTTACCTGTGGTTGCAACAAAGTTCAGCAAAGCTTCTAATTCACTCAATAACAGATGTGTGTGACACAGGCCCATTGGGGTCGTTGTTTCTGTCTTGTCTGGCTGTAAGAAACACTGTAGCAATATTGGTTTGCCCAAAAGCGATTCTCTGTTCCTGCATGATAAAGTTATGGAAAAAAATTGTGCAAAATGCGTCTGACTTGCAGTGAATATGTGCTCCCGGAGGACACTCATTTGTAACTTATTCCATGGTACGCACCATTTCAGGTAGACATAATGGTTCTCCTCCCCATAGGCTTCCCACTTTGTCGAGTTTCTAATGAAACGGTGTGTTTTCAGTGCAAGTAGACTTCCTTTCTCTATTGCTTTTGTCTTTGTAAGTGGAATGATTACAATTTCTCGTTAAATGTCGCCAAGTAGGATCGGGTTCACATTATACAGTCGATCATCTCCTATACATGTATATTCCGTTTATTTTCCAATTTCGTTTCTGAATGTTTCTAAAGGTATTATCTTGGATTTGTTATTGGTTTACTATGTCAACTTCCTGGATTTCAGTATGCAGGCTTTGAAAGTCTTCTTCTAAGGATTACCAGAAAACAACATTGAATCATTATGGCTTGTCCCTATTTCATCAATGAACTAGGTCCAACTGGTTCAACTTTTTGGAAAGCGACAAACAAAAACAACCCATGTTTTTAGTTGTGTATTTCTTTCAGTGGGATATTGGTTTTCTTGATTTCTGAATATTTTAGTAGGGTATTGGTTTTCAGCGGGTTGTTACTTTCAGTGTCGTATTAGTTTTTCTTGATTTCAATATTTCTTTCAGTTTTCCTGCCATTGGTGCATATTCCTAGGATACATCCTTTTTCCTTTCAGCATCTTTTTAAGGGGCAGAATGTGAATGAAATTTTCTGATATAAAACTTCAATTTCAATGCCTTTTTTTTCCTACATTTTAAAGACATTTTGTTCAGTACCAATATTTCTCTATTTCAGTCTGTCTTTCAGCAATGTGCGTGCCGAAGCCAAGCTCCACAGCGCCTACCACTAACCTGAAATGTCTGGTTTGCGGGGACCGATCGTCTGGGATACACTATGGGGTGCTGGCCTGTGAGGGATGCAAGGTAAGGGTACAAACAGTACAGTGTGCAGACCTGTGATGGGTGCGAGGTAAAAATATACATCAGGGTGTGCAGACCTGTGATGGGTGTGAGGTAAAGATATACATCAGGGTGTGCAGACCTGTGATGGGTGTGAGGTAAAGATATACATCAGGGTGTGCAGACCTGTGATGGGTGCGAGGTAAAAATATACATCAGGGTGTGCAGACCTGTGATGGGTGTGAGGTAAAGATATACATCAGGGTGTGCAGACCTGTGATGGGTGTGAGGTAAAGATATACATCAGGGTGTGCAGACCTGTGATGGGTGCGAGGTAAAGATATACATCAGGGTGTGCAGACCTGTGATGGGTGCGAGGTAAAGATATACATCAGGGTGTGCAGACCTGTGATGGGTGCGAGGTAGAGATTTACCTCTGGGTGTCGGCATAAGATGGGTGCAAGGCATAGATAACTATTACAAACAATACAAGGTGCAGACCAGTGATGGGGGTGAGGTACAGATATACATCAGGTTGTCGGCCGGAGACGGGCGTAAGACAGAGATAACTACAGGGTGCAGACTTCTAAGGGGTGTAGAGATACATTACAAGGTCCTGGTCTATTAGGGGTGTTAATACACATTACCTGGTGATAATGTAATGGGTGTAGTGAAGTAATATACATGTACTACAGGGTACTTGCCAGTGAAGCATGCACATTTTGGGATTCAATACAGGTACTGATATCTGAATAATGCAAGGTATGGATACAGCAATCACTGTTAACCTCTGAGGGGTGCAAGGTACTCGTACAATTTCAGGGTGCTGACCTTTGAAGGGTGCAAGGTAGGGGTAGAGTAACTAAAGGGTGTTGACCTCTGAAGGGTGCAAAGTACATGTAAGCTTCATGGTGCTGTGGGTGCAACTTAGCCACAAATTATTTTCATATCCCTAAACAGTATGGCAAGTAATAAGGGAAACCCGTGAACAATATCTTAATCTGCTGGAACCAGTCATGTCCGAATTAAAGTGGTATCTAATGAGCTTTATCAACTTGTTGACAGGGATTCTTCCGTCGAGCCCTCCAGGATATTGGTGACCCAGCAAGGAAGAGGTGCTACTACAACAAAAACTGTGAGATTACCGTGCTCACTCGCAACAGATGTCAGTACTGTCGTCTCCAGAAATGTCTGGCACTCGGAATGTCAAGATCAGGTAAAAATACATTCTAACAATCGGTGTGGTAAACAAAAGGTACTTTGCAGAAATACAGTACATTTCATAAGAATTTAACAAACGAATTCCTCACTATTGAAATGGTTTGAGCTGAGCTTCTTAGAAATCATCAATACCTTTTTCCTTGATTTCAATCTGATGTAGATTTGTACCAGGAACTATTGTTTTAGGGTCATAAAGGTCAAGGCCACTGTTACTATAAATAGAATATAATTGTCATCACACTACCATCTTCCTTTTTGATACCATTTTGATGAAGCTTCAAACAATCATTCAGTATTGGAATATATCAAAGGAATGCGTGTTTCTAGGTCACTGTTAATTTGTTATCAATAAAGTATGACTGCTTACGCTCGACCCTCCCCCTCCCTCCCCCGAAGGAAGAAGGAAGTAGGAAGTAGTGTTATGTATTTGCTGTGTCCATTATTGATTGTCATCTTTCTAGACAGCTCATTTATGGTTGCTGATTCTTTATACTTTGTGCAAATGTCAATTCATTGGATACCTTGAACAGTTTTTACGGAGTGCTGGCTCCAAGTCAAGATCGCTGTTAATAAAAAAGGAAAGGTTTCATCATTGTTCTAAAAGGATCATTTATGACGACGGAAATGTGCTTCAATATCTTGACCTTGTTCATGTTTGTTCGCTCAAGGTCAAGGCCACTATTGCATCAGGTAGAAAACTTCCAAATAGTAATCATTATGGTCTTATTTCCTGGTATATGCTTGGTAACACATCACCTAGAACAATAAACAATGCATGAAGACCGACCAGAATTTTCATGGATCACATTCTTTTTAACCAATGGTACCATGTCCTAAATACGCGCATAAACCAGTAACAAACCCAAATGATGTATTTTCTTCATGTTGCTGTAGAGGGTTGTCATGGGGACACTTCGTTTATTGTGAGCTTTGCTGACTTCCTTTATTTCCTCATCACATTCAAATGAAAAAGGTCACAAGCTAGAAATAGAAAAGGTCATCATGATCAGTCAAAACAGGTGGAGGGTCTGGTTTTGTAAATTTATTTGAAATGTTGTTGGTTTTCACCCTCTGAAGGAGTGTCTCCACGACATCTTTTACCCAGAAAATTTACTCTGTATATGTGCTTAGTATTAGAAAACATGGAAAGGATAGTCAGGCCACATAGACAATGTCTATAGCCAGTGTTCAATTGGGATAGCAAGGGTCATAAAAAGGGTCCTACATTGTACCTTAGGGTATTAAAAAATATCTTGCAGGCAGATAAATATATCGGGTAGACTAATCAATAACCCTACCTAATGTTAAGATAGACACGTTAATATAGACACGTTCGAATTATTGAAATAATCCAGTTTTTATATGTTTACCTACAGGTTACAGGGTGCAACTTAAAATATTTTGTTTGTTAAAAATTCAGTGAATGCCTTGGAGATAGATTTGAAATGCTTCGGAGAGTCTACTTGACAAATGCCTAAGGCTAAAGAAATGCAGCCTTGTGCTGAAGCCTGGTCTAGTCTAGACAGCTATGGCTTGAACATATCACAGTAACATTGAACTTTGAAAGCACCTAAGGCATGTTGGGGTTTTTTAGCAATGAAAACAAGATTATCGGAACGCAGATCAAATATAACAATTACTTATTCAGCTATCTTAAGTGAAATGTTTCAAAACATTCAGCTATTTGCAAAAAAATAAAAATAAAAATATTGGCGATGTTTTTGCCTAATTTATCATTGGAATGTGGATAATCTCAGAATAACTATTGCTGATTTGAAATAAGACTTGTAAGTCTCTGGTCTGCCCCCTCTCTCTCCTGAAATAGAAACCATTGCTGTCCCAACATTAGTCTGCTGTTAATGTAAAATCTAAGAAGACGGATTGCTCTGTTAAATCTACTTAATTATTCCCATCACATCCTGGGTTGTCATGTTTGTGGACATAAAAATCAGTGTAGATTTGATAAGTGTATATATTGATTTTTCCTTGGTTGTTCCTCCTATCAACACACTTAAAAGTCATTATCAATGACATTGTGCCATCACCAAAAGACCAAATTAGCTACGGAGTTATTCCCCTTCCACTGACGCACCATGCTTGTGCTTCTTTAACTCATTCACCCCTGTAATTTCATAATGAACTATTCCAACCTTTGAATTGGAAGACTTTAAATGTGTTTTCCGGGGTGAATGTGTTAAAAAATATTGGCAATTGATCTACAAATGTGATTTGAAGAAACAGCTTGAAATGAGGTGTTTATTTGATATGAATAATGCTGTTTTGCAACCGATTATTGCAGCAGTGAGAAGAAGCGAAAAATGTACTTTTTACTACGCAGTGTGTTAATTTGCTTTCTTTGATTTCAGCTGCAAAACTTGGTCGACGTTCTCGGAAGATGCGAGAAATGATTCGTAGTATGGAGGATACACAAACAGAGCAGGCCCTGCACGGCCTTCTCAGTCTCAACTCGGACATAGAGCGACAGATTGCTGCATCCACTGAGGCTGCAGTGGCTGCATCCATGAACAATGGCATCAATCAGACCGGACCAAGTCAGACGTCGATGGCTGCCCTGTCGATGCTTCTAAAACAGCGTGCCCAAACTGGCTTCCTGATGGACCGTGATAGAGGATCCATAGAGACCAACTGCTCCACGGAAGACAGTAGTGAAAGTCTGCCACTGATCAAACAAGAACACCATGATTCCATCGACAACCGGAAAGAGATCCATGACAGGTGTCAGTCTCTGTCACCAGAAGCAGAGTCTGTCCACGTTCATCCCGCCCACACTGGGATGACGGACTCGGCGACGCGATCGTCAATTGTCAACTCACTTCTCACACTCCCACAACACATAGCGTTCCGCTTCCCCCACCCCCACCTGTTGATGCCCGGGGCCATAGACCCCGGCAAGCCATACGAAAATAATGTCCCACCTTTTGAGTCTTCGGCCTCCGTCAGCCAGCCTATTGACGCAACGATGAACGGCCTTTCTGCACACAGCCACTCACCACTTAGTCAACAGTCAGTCATCGTACAAAACACCACACTTGATCTCAGAAAACACAACCGTGGTGATGAGAAAATACGAAGTCCCATCAAGAAACGTCCTTACAATCCATCATACAACACGGACAAGGAATTAGAGGATGAGGAAGACTGCTACCGCAAAATCCAGCGCAGAGATTCAATGTCCAGTGATGTGGGCTCCCCCGATCCCTACCCATCAAAAAAACTGGTCATCAATGAAATGGCCGACAGACCTTTTCTTCCATCGTATATTCCAATGCGGGACAAGCAGTCAACAATGGACCATACCGCTGTGGTGGCCCCCATCGTTAAGAATGTGAGTCGCCACGAGGATGACATCAAGCTCACAGTCCCCATGTTAATCTACAAAATCCACGACTCCTTCCTGCAGACCTTCACCTTTATGAAGTCGAAGTTACAGGAGATGGAGGAGAAATTGATGGAGATGAGGGAACACATCGCCCAGGGTCTTATGAAGAAGGAACCTAACATACAGGACCTCCAGCGCCTTGAGTTCATCATGAGGGTAACGTGTTTACTATTACTGAAGACATACATATTTCAGCGTTAGTCTTATTTAAGCGCTTTTCATGCTTTGTAATTGTGCTAAGTTAATGAATGCGCCAATTGAACTTCCTGTATATTGTTCTCTGTTGAATATTTTATGGTTGTGGCAATTCATCAATATACTTATCAGTTAGAATTCTTTAAAGTATGTTTAAAGTATCTCAATTCCTTGTAACTTTCAGTGAAGAGTTTTAATTTACCATTATAAGGCATTGCACTCCATCATCATTGAATTTGCCAGTGTCCAGTTGGCTTTCATATTGCCTATGAATGCCAACTGAAAGCAATTCAATGCATAAAGGAACATTAAAATGTAATATATACTTACCAGTATTTTGTATATCATGGGCCAAAGTTTTTGTGTGGTTCAACATTAAATTTAAATATGTCTTAACAAATATTTGCTCCATTAAAGTTCAAAGTTTTTGTATGGTTTAAAATTGAAATCTGATATAATTTTACCAAATATTTAATACTTTGAGGGTTAAGTTTTTGTATGGTTTAACATTGAATTTAAATATGTCTTAACAAATATTTGCTACATTTTAGTTTTTGTTTGATTCAAATTTGAAATCTGATAATATTATATTCTTACCAAATATATAAGTACTTTGAGGGTTGAAGTTTTTGTTTGGTTCAACATTGAATCTGGTATAAAATGTAATATAAGCCATACAATACATGTTGAGCTACATCTACCACACACTGTATCCCCTCAAACTTGTCTTTGCCATAAGCAGTTTTCATCTTGTTTCTTCTTTAAAACAAAATATGAAAAGCTGCTACCCTAATGGGATCTAAATAAAATACTGTTGTTGACTTTGTAGGGCCCAAATGGTAAAATGATCAAGCCAGGGGAGCTCTGCTGGGAGGGTTTCCAGAGCCTACTGAACAAAACCATACAGGACACCGTGACCTTCGCCAAGAAGATCCCCGGCTTTCCTCACCTGGACCAAGACGACCAGATCAGCCTCATCAAGGGAGGCTGTTTTGAGGTTAGCTGATGCGAGGTTTAAATGCAATACAGTGAAACCTGTCTTATCTGACACCCTGTTGATTCCAGCACATTGGCCAGAACCTGGTTGTTGTCATTAAAAATGGGATTACAGGATTGTGTCAGATTAGACAGAGTGTCAGAATTTACAGTTGATCAGAATCCAAATGACATAAGGGTGTTGTTTGTTTGACATACCTCAAACTAAGAGATTTTCTATAGTTTTAGAAAATAAATATGCCTGAATTGATTATTTTGTGTTCTTAAAGGTTAGGGGTTTTCTTTGGTATTTTTTTTTTATCCCATACCTGTTGCATCTTGTACTACAAGCAATTTTCAGACTATGAAATACAACGTTCTGTATTGCACATGTGCAATACGGAATGTTGTATTTACCTACTAGCCGGAACTACTTTTTATGGGAATCCCCTTGTCATTTTGAACTGAAAAGTTCCCAGTATTTGCAAAACATATAAAATCTATGTATCGATCTCTACCAAATACGGAAGGTATGTGATAAAAGCAAGACCACACACTTGTGTTTTAACGAATCAGAAAGCACTCGTCCGCACAATAAACTCGTGCTTTCTGATTCGTTAGAAAAACACAAGCGTGTGGTCTTGCATATTTATTTGGTATACATAAAGGTTTGGCAAGGTTTTCTTTGGTTTGTAAAAAAATACTGGGCTGAACAAAAAATATTAACCTTGTGTAATATTGGTTTGACCGATTCAACGTTGTGTAATATTGGTTTGACCGATTTAACGTTGTGTAATATTGGTTTGACCGATTTAACGTTGTGTAATATTGGTTTGACCGATTTAACGTTGTGTCATATTGGTTTGACCGATTAAACCTTGTGTAATATTGGTTTGACCGATTTAACGTTGTGTAATATTGGTTTGACCTTTGGTTTTGTAGGTTGCGTGTGTGGTGTACTCTCAACTGATAGACTCCGAAACGAACATGATGTTTGTTCTGGGTAAAAACATACTCATCAAACGGGAGGAGATGAAGATGGGATTCCCGCTGGGCGAGCACTTCGTGGAGCTTCTCTTTAACCTGTGTATGAGGTTCAACGCCTACACCCTGTGTGACGCGGAGAAGGCTCTGTTTAGTGTGCTGGTCCTCATCTCACCAGGTAAACCAACCACTGGCAGTGATACAAAGCTGGTGGCCTATTGGTCGTCAGGGTGTAATTCTTGTCTACAAGAAGGCCAGAAGGCAGTACTTGTACATGTACTATATGATGTAAAACTCATTCAAGTGAAAAAATGTTGTCCCAGTACAATTCTTTCGTGTTATAGAATGAATGGCTTCAAGTGGTTGTTTCAGTACCTGGTAATACGTTGATGCATACCTGTATGAATGTGTGATTGTGCAGTAACCGGGTAGTTAAAGCATGATCTGAAATTTCTGAATCAAAATTCCTAACAGACCCGTTTAGTGTCGAATATGTGGTGTTAGTCCCCAATAGGTGCTATTAGAGGGGAAACTAGGTTCATACTAGCTCAATAGTGTACTGAAATCAAGTCTTATGTCAACTGGAACATTATGCTGCATTAATGAGTTTGCGAAAAAACGCAAAAATAAAAACATTGCTGCAAAAAAATACTTTTTTCAATTTATCCCTTTCACCACTGTAGACCATAATGGACCCATCCATATCAATGCATGGTAGAGTCTACTTAAGTTACATAGGGGTGAAAGGGTTAAGTATATTCTGATACAATATGTATAGTTTTAGTTGAAGTGAAAATCAGTGTTTACAATAATAGATCTCAAATCTGATATTTACACATAACCTGTAAAAACGATAATCTCTGTTACAGATCGGCAAGGTTTGAACAATAGAGAAAAAGTGAGCAAGCTACAGGAGCTGCTGATACAGGCCCTTCAGGCCCAGATCACGGCCAGTCACCCCGACGAGGCCGGACTCTTCCCACGGCTACTGATGAGCATCTCCAGCTTACGAGAGCTCGGCGTGGAGCACCGGCGCATGCTAGAGAATCTGAAGCATCAAATGAGCTTTTCACACGACCTTTATGCAGAGACCTTTGACCTTCTGACCTGAGCTGCACAGACATCTATCTTGCCACATAGATATCAATCTGACTATTGTACACCACAAATGTACGGAAAGCTTCCAGATCATGTGATATTTTTTCTTCAGAATTATTTGAGAAAGAAAGTGCTGATTAATCCCGATTCACCCGAGAGCAGAAGACATCTTATTTCGCTACGTTTTATTTTATGTCTTATGTATCCATATTAGCATTTTTATTTATTATTTTTTCCGTTTTTGTTTTTGTTTTTAAGGCTTGTATGTATGTTTACATCTAATCTTTCATGCTGCTGGTCAACTCATAGTTTTCTGAAAAGAAACAAGAAGAGATTTGTTTTCATTCCATTCACGAATTAAATATTAACTAGTTATTTTTTTTAAGTTAAGTAAATTATTGCATTCCTTCCATTACATGCGTCACCAACCCCTCAAAGGGGAAACCATCTGGATCCTCGCGTACCCTAATACCTTACCTGGGGTCCAAGTCATAGATTTTAATAATGAAATCAAACTCATACGGTATCACAGTTCATTAACATATTATCAGCTTGATGTAATAAGCCTATCACGCAAGTGTTCTATTCAAGTTTCATGCTAAATGTTGCCAAAAACATGTGACGTATACAAAATACTGTACATGTATATTTTTTGTTGTTTTAGTCATTATTGAATTGATGCTAGTCTAGTAGGCAGTGTACGGCCCCTTCTGACCAAGGATTCGAGTCTACTCCACCAGGGCTACCTGAGCTCAGTGTTCCCCACGCGACAGTATTTACCTGTTTCAATTAATTTAACCAATGTCTTGAAAATGTCATACACCATACATGTCATACATTACTGAAACACACACAAAATGATTCCCATACTTTTGATTCACTTATCACTGTATATTCTCCGTGTAGTTGACTCACATTGATCCTAAGTTGACTAAAAGTTGGTTCACCATGTTTTTGACCCCCCGTTTATCATAGCCTGACTCATTGATTTAGCCTTCTCTTGACTTGTTGTGAGCAAAGGCTAAACAGCTGTTCAAGTGTTCCTTTGAAATGAAAAGAAATTCAAAGTTCTAATTTATTTAAAAAAAATATTTCCTTCAAGAGTTCAGCATATACATAGTACTAGATCATCAAGCCCTTTTGAAGTTGTCATACCCCCTGTAGGAATAGTGTGGTACCATCTGACCAGACACTGGTGCTGCCCCCTGTAGGAATAGTGTGGTACTATCTGACCAGATACTGGTGCTGCCCCCTGTAGATATAGTGTGGTACTATCTGACCAGACACTGGTGCTGCCCCCTGTAGAAATAGTGTGGTACCATCTGACCAGACACTGGTGCTGCCCCCTGTAGGAATAGTGAGGTACCATCTGACCAGACACTGGTGCTGCCCCCTGTAGGAAAAGTGAGGTACCATCTGACCAGACACTTGTGATAGGAAAAGTGTGGTTATTTGAATAGAAATTGGGTTTGGCCTTTGTAGAAATAGACCATTAGTTGGGTAATCTGAGCAGAGACAAGGCCAGTGGCAATGATGTAAGGGAAATAACTTGAGAATCATAATAGTCACCCAAAGTCAAATGTTTTATATAGATTATCATCTTAAGATGTAAAACTATATTTTTTTGCACATTTCATTTTCTATTTTCTATTGCGCTTTAACCTGGTAATGATTTTTTGCATTGTGCATGTCCTCCTCATCACCATCTCTAATAATATGCAATTGCTGACCATTGCTATGCATACAGACTGTAAGGTATCTCGTTGTAACCTCCACATGCTGGATAAGTTCTGTCAGTGTCTTCAGACAGCATGCGATTTGCCAATAGTTCTGATGACTTTAACTCATTCACCCCTGGATACTCATTTGAACTCTTCCAATTAAAAGGTTGGAATAGTTTATTACGAATTTTCAGGGGTGAATGAGTTAAATCCCCCCTTCCTGTCCTTGATATGCAGTAGTTTCTTCTACAAATGAAGTTGTGATTAATTTCTAAATGTTACATAGGTATATAACTTGTTTTTTTGTAAATCTCAAGCTTTCATCTAGCTTGTTGTAAGATACATATCATATTTTTTTACTCACAAAGTGTGAAATGAAAGAGTAATATTTATTGTATTAATATTGAATGTAGAGGTTTCTCTTTTTCAGAAAGTTACATTATTCTGTGAATGGAGATAAATTCTTCATGTATTCTTGGTGAAGTAAACTTTAAATATTTCATTATCTGATTGGTCAAGGTCAAGGTCAAATGGACATTTTAGAGTCATCTTTTGTATTTTTCGAGTTTTCAAAAGTGATTGTCACTTTTTTCACTGACTCAATTTTTTGCACAAGATTTAACTTGTCAGCTGATTTTCCATCCTGGAATATTTTGTCTTTGTAGTAAACACAATATCATTTCTTAATGGAGAAAGAGGGAGGGATGAATTATCTGCATATTAGAGATATCTCTCTCCCTCTCTCTGTCTATTTCTCTCTATGAAAAAATGAAGAAGGATGGTTGTCAGTCAGGTGGGCGAAGAAACATAGACAAACAATATTATTTATTATGTAGGAAACTTATTCATGTTTTGAGATTACTTTTTGAACTCTACAACGGTGTAAGACAAGCGAGTATTGGTGAGTTAAGTTTTGTGGTGCCTTTATACAAATAAATCTTACTTATGATTAAAATTTTACACGTATTCCACTCCATGGCCCTGTTATATAATAATACCTTAAAGTTGAAATGTAAATAAAAAAAACACCACAAAATTCATTTTACAATATCAATTATCATATTTAATATTTTTGTTTGATATATATATGAAATACAATCTCACTTCTTCTTAACTGATTCTCTTTCTGTTTTAACGTTTTAGATATGTGATTTTCTTGCGTGATTATTTCAAAAACTTAGACCTTGCTATATGACTTGTGTTTTGTTTTTTCTTTGTAAAAAAGCTGTCTTCTGCCTCGGTGAAACTCTTGGTGCTGGTAATGATTATTATGATAATATAATTGTAATGGAAACTACTTGGTATAATTACAACTGTATGCATCACTCTTTGTATGCTATAAATGTATGTTTGGGGGGTAAATCAGCTTTTTATGTTTACAATGTATGTAAATTTGTTCATTTTTTATTTATTATTACAAAGTCCATGTACTGGGGCAACCCCGCAAGTCCATTTGTCTATAAAAAAAATATTTAAGTAAGTACAAATTGTAGTTAGCTTTTTTGCATTTTTGAGCAACCATTATTTATTCATCTATTCAATTCCATAATTTGTATTTTTATACATTTTGTTTATTTGTACAGACTGCGGAGTGTTTGTTGATGAGTGGTATAAAGTATAGAGATTATTATTTGGAGACTATACAGCTGATAGTTTAAGTGAAGCGTTACTCTTGTGTTTGTCTGTTGGAAGGATCAGTGGGATTAGTAACATATCAAATGTTTTACGTAACAAGATTGGTCTCATAGTGTACATGTAGATTCTTCATACTTCTCTGGTTTCTGTAACTTGACTCGACTGCCGTATTTTACCCGGGATAAAACCGGAAATGTTTAGTTCATAACCTTGCAATTGGTTAAGACAACTGAACTGAATCGCCAAAACCTAACTGAGGATTATTGCAGTAATACACCTTCCCCAACCCTGGTTTCCGTGTTTTGTTTAGGGGTATCAGTCATTCATAGTATTTAATTATAATCCCCTATAATGACATTAGGGGAATATACTGGAATCAGCTTGTTCGTCTGTCTATTTGTCCATCTGTCTGACCTTTGGTCTGTCTATGGTTAAAAGTTTGTCCGATCAACGCCTCCTAAACCAATTAGACAATTTCAACAAAACTTTATATGTATGATCAATACATTATACAGTTGCACACCTGACTTTTTCGTTTTTTATTTTGACATTTTCCCCAAAAGTTGTTAGCCTTCTTGTACCTTTCATGTCTTGTCTAGACAAATTTCCACAAAATAGGTGACCAATTACAATGAAAGTTTCTGTGAGTGATATATAGGGAATATCCTTGACATCAAATGACCAAATTATAATTTTTGGGATTCAAGATGGCCACCATAGGCTTTGATTGGCCGAGACAATGCTCTTTATAACTCGGGCTCTGAAGGTTCGACTTTGTTGATCCTTTTTGGGAGTGATGCATAGCTTCAAGTTCCACTAAAAATTCAATCAAATTATCAAAAATTATCAACTTTATTGTAACCTGAGTATCAGGTTTGTCAAATGATTTTTGACAGATTTTTTCAAATCTTTAATGATCGAGCGGAGGTTAATAGCCTGAAGCTTACAGTTCTAGTTAATAGTTTGCATAGAAGTAATAGTGAGGAACCCTAACCATGGATAGAAATGATTTCCTCGTGGAACATTTGGCCGATTAATAAATACACAACAGATTGTTTCAATTTCCTTGTCACATACCACACTTCATATCAATGTCCTGGTTCTCTGCCTCATCTCATGTCATGATCCCTTAGTTGCTGAAGTCAAAGGTCACGGTGATTAATTGTGACCAAGGTCACAGAGGTCAAATGTTTTAGTCCTGCACAATGCCTGCCCCTAACCAAAACATATTCATATCAACCGATCGACCTTCATCATGAACGTATAGATATTAAAAAGTAGAACAAAGAAGTTATCACTGGTAAAATACAACAATATCAGCAGGCCCCACGATCATGAAACGTTTGGACTTGACTGATCACAGATAACATCATAAAAAGTGACATCATATATGATTGGCTAAGCAAAACTTCAGTCTAAGATTGTTTCACAATCCTGGGGCCAGGACAGCTAATATTCTTTATTTAGTAAAATTATCGAATGTGTATGAGGAAAAGTTTTTTCTTATAGGATTCATATAACATATTTAAAATCACTCCACAAGACAGAAAAAAAAACAGATTTCTCACATGGACAAGCCGCATATAATCAGAGAACCAGAAAAAGAAAATTGGCTATCAAGGATTTTGCATTTGAGTATTGACCTGGTGTACACGGGTGTGTTAACTGAAGCTATAGAGAGAAAATGTAAAATTTCAGTGATCTTATGACAGCTGGTCGGCCATGACCAAAACAAGTAGCGACCACGCTTCCAATCCACAAACCATATCATGTGGATTACTTTAAAGGAGTCATAATCGACCTTTTTCACTTCACATGTGGATTTTTTTTGTTTTTAATTACTCTTAAGTGACAGCTTCATGTTTTGTAAAACACTTGTTGATTATAATTGTACGTACGGTGACACTCTTTCAGTACCTATTTGTTATCATAATTTCGAAGAATGAAAAAAAACCCAGAAAGTTGTTGAAACTCGGAAATTTAAATATTTATGCTTTTAACGAATTTTGTTTTCATTCTGCATGTGTTTCAGCTTAGAAATGAACATGTAGCTGAAGAATCAATTGCAGTTTATTTATTTCGTTATTAAGGAGTTGAAACTTGTTCCTTCTCTGTCTTTAAACAGTATTTTGTGTCATGAATCTGAATGAGTTGCATGTCATGGTACATTCCTGTTAGGTTCCATCATTTGGACAAACACATGGTTTACATTCTAGACAAAAATTCAATGAAAACCTTACATTTCGAACGTTATGTTCAACCAACTGTAGCTTGCTTCCTGTTGATTTACACATATTTATTATGGAATGAATGAATGTGTATGAGTTTATTTTGTTGCAATCTGTTTAAAATCATACCCATTTCTAGCTTCGTATACCGATACAAAAATAACTGTTATACCTATTAAGTAAATGTTGTCAATTTCTGAAAACATTTCATGTTCGTAATTGTTTTTTTTAAAACCCTGATTTAAATCAACAGCATGTTAACCCTTTCAACACTGTAAAGCATAAAGGACTCACCCAGATCAATTCATGGTAGAGTTCATAAAAGTTACATAGGGGTGAAAGGGTAAATGTGTCACTACAGAGCTTGTACTGCAGCACGTTGGCGTTAGAGGCTGGGACAGGGTGTGATTTTACGCAGATTGCGTAGATCCTAAGCATATCTTTAGGTTTGTTATCTATGTTCATTTTGGGCAAGCACGCCAACATCATCCCAGCGTTAAACAACATTGTACATACATCAGTAGGTAAGATACATGTACTAATTTATTTATATACATTCGAGGAGAAAGAGACGTGTTTTATTTTGGCTAATCTTTATTTTTTGATGTGCAATAGCTTCTACTATTTAAGAAAACCTTGCATATTTGTCATTTGAAAATAATATCATTAAGCATATTAAATATTGCTTACTCATTTCCCTCTTGCGTACAACTTTTAAATGCCTATATAATAGACCTGCCTAATCTGACTCCTGAGTATTCCAACATCCTGGCTAATCCAATATAATGCTGTAATCCCATTTCTAATGGAAAGTATGAGATAATACCTATATTCTGACATTCTGTCTAATCTGACCAATGTGTTGTTTACGCCACGGGGTGATAGATTACAAAGGTTTCATTGTACAAAAACCCTGATTTGATGCAAGAAAGCACCTGATGTGATTGTGCTTGTATCTGAGTGAACCACAGCTTAGCATGACCATTGAGCTTCACAAAGATGGATATCTATGTATCAAAAAATTATCTCAATTTTTAATCTCAATTTAAGTGTTTTGTATGAATATCAAAGTTCTTACTATAAAATTCAAAAAGTATACCGGTTACCCTTCCAGTTATTTAACAGATAGAAAAAAGTATTAAAAAAAACCCATCCCATTCGACTTTATATCACAATGAAGAATGACATGTAGTATAAAGGGAAATGAGATTTTCAGCAATGTTAATTATTTTATTTTATTTCTTTAATTTTCCTTGTCAAAAAACCTGGAAATCATGCTTTAATAGATTAATTTATCAGCATTAGCATATAACAGCATCTAATTTGTTCTGAAAATGCAAATATATTCTAATTTCTTAGCCCCCCCCGCATCCCCCCTTTTTTTTGTTAGTATTGATAGACCACTATGTTAAAATATACCGGGCTATATTAGTCACTGGTGCTAAGAAATGAGAATTAGAATTATGACTTTGCATGCTAGATTGAAGTCATCAACATAGGTATTAATCATTGTAAATATTTACCTTTCAAAATCGTTTTCATTTGTATGTGGTACACGGTTTTATGAAATCACTGGTTCTTGTAATGATATGATTTATTTATTACAAAGCATATGCTTTCAATAGCAAGCCTATAACCCAATGTGCTATAAATACCTGCAATTTTAGCTCATAAACAATATTAACAGTTTTATTTTTTTTATTTTAGATATTGTGTGCACATTTAAATTATATGTTAAAAGCAGAGACATAGAAGTAAAAGTTCAGATGTGTGAAAATGTCAACAGGCCCTTTATGCATTTTGTTCTGACACATGATTGATGGCTAAGGACAACGGAGCACATAATGTTATTATATTTCTTAAGAAAATACCTTAAAAGTATGATAAAAATATAAACAAAACTGGTACAGTTACAGATACTGCTTCAACAAGTTTGACTCTACACAAAAATGTCATTGTACACGACCATTACATTACTTTGATTATAGGTATTGGAGAATCTAACGGCCTATGTGCTAAACGATACATTGATTCTATGGATATCCGAATACGAAACGATCCATGTGCATCACGATACCTTCATTCTACAGAAATCGAAGTTTGTGAAAGTTCATGAGCATTACAATACTTTTATCTTAAGTTGTTTTCTTTATCAGGATAGTAACTTTCCAAAGAAAACAACTTACTGACTGAAAATATTTCTGTTCAATGATATCGAAGCTTGTTATGAGTAGGTTTTTACTTTGCTTATTAGAGACTGCCAGCCTTATGACGACAAGTTTTAGATTGAAGATGTTAACAGTACAGGAATTAGCTGGACAGCAATATTAAGGACAAAGGTGAAAGTCTATATTTTAACGGTATATACATATACAAATGCATTGCTCCATTTTGCACACCGTGAAAAAAATTAATTCAGGCCTGAAAATATTTCAGGATGAAAAATGTGACTGGCAGAGTTACAAATTTTCAAAATTTTATATAAAATTAATAATTCTTCACTGTATTTCTGAACATTTGAATTTTTTTTGTTGTCTTGGAGAGTTAATCACAAATTCAAACACATATACATTACAAAAAAAAAAACATATTTAAAGATATTATTTTGCCTATACAATTCCTTAGAAGGATTTTTTTGTAGCACAACAGTGTAAAATTTACATGAAAAAAGTAATAACTAAAACTTAATCAGAAACAAAATAACTCATCAATCTGCTATAATAGAAATTTAAAACTGGATATTTCTGTTTGTTTTGTATTATTTAAGCGTAAAAAAGGAAAAATATCAATTATATATTTGTGTTTATGATCAAGAAGAAGTTTTGAGGAATGTACATTGGTATTATACCTGTAGCTGGTGCTTTGCGTGTGTACTTGTACTTGGAGATGCTTTGTGTAACAACAGCTTATAATACACTGTGTATAATGGTGCTAGTCATGTGCTCTAATGTCAACTCTGGTATTTGGACGGTATCAGCTATTGATGGTACAAATTTCCGGGGGAAAAAATAGCATCAAAACTTCTATGTGCTTTGACGTAATCTCTCGCACTTGTTAATGCAATAATCTAGTTACGGTTTAAATTATTTTTTGCTTTTAATCGATAAACGTAAAAATGTGGTCTTTGATATTAATTCCTTTTTTTATCAGTTGGGTTGTTGATCTTTGCGCATTCTGAGAGTGAGCATGATATATCATTCCTCACTGTGTCGGCCATGTTGTTTTTGACTCCATATGTGCACTTGTGCCTACATAGAACCCCAACCGACCCCCTCACTTGTGTAGTGTAGAAATGCACGCCTTCCTGTTGAAGGTCGCTGGGGGTTGTAAGCCCGTCCCTATTTCTAGCATTGGTTATATATACTGTATATAAATATATGTGTGTGTGTGTAAAAATAAAGAAACAAAATTTACAAAAGAAACCCAATAAGTTTTAAACTAAAATTGGAATTAACTGTTCAGTCAGTGTTAAAAGTAAAATATTCCGACATCAAATCTATAACAGGATTTACATAATTTCATTTTTTCAAATATTTTGTGTGTGCATTAGACAACAAATATTGTAATCTATGATAAAATCTTCAAACTTTAGAGATCAGTGATTGCTTTATTTTAGATCTACACATCCTAAAGATCTGATTGAGCACTCCCCAAACCAGATATCAATGTTCATTGTAGTTTAAGCTTGAAATACTGCTGAGGCCCAGAAGCTCTATGCAAATATGTTTTCCTACATACCAAGCTAACAGCACACTTGTCCGTACAGTTGTTCGCAGATTGAATAAATTAGAAAAAATGGAATCTTGCAGTGATCAATAGAAATTATGAAAGATCAGACTTATTCTTAATCATAAAAACATATTTGGGTGCCTGTGTACACCAAACATTTGATACCCCAAATAATATTTCATATTTACAGTCAATCCTGTATCAAGATACCAAAAGAAGTTGGTGTTTTGATACAGATTAATTTCAAAGTGATAACACTACAATTGGGAAAATTAAAAATAGTCTGTTATCACATGTGGTCTCTTAATTCAGTCACCCCTGAAATTTCATAATGAACTATTCCAACCTTTGAATTGGAGGAGTTCAAATGTGTCTTCAGTGGTGAATGGGTTATTGGAAATGGCTGTATGAGCATGTTTGACTGTATAAACTATAGCTTCAGCTATACTTTCCCAGCATGATTCTAGCCGACCCCGACCGTAATATTACAAATGGTAGCATGATTCCAGCCTACACGATTCTGCCAAGATGACCTGTTTATCTGTGGGATACAGGTAAGGCTTGGACCATGACTCCACTGCCCTTAGTTTATACATTAATATGTGATTGAACCTGAAAACTTGCCTTTTCAGACATCATAAACAATGTTGAACTCAGTGTTTCTGTTTGCACTGGTTTCATAGAGATAATGATGATCCACTATCAATGATCTGGTCACCTGGTTTCTGGTTAATTATGTCAAACGGGGAGACATCAAAGCTGTTAAGTCACACCCTAGTAAGATGTATTCTGTCTCTCAATGAATTATCTTATTGATCACTTTGTGTCTATTCCATTTGTCTCGTAGACTTGCCTTTTGGCGATTACTCGACCAATAAATAATGGAATTAGTACAAGCCATACCTTATTTTATACACCAGTGTTTTTTTCCCTTTTTACAACTAGATTCGTTCATTAGGGATAAGCCTGGGTTGGGGGGGG